AAAAGTTCCCCCACACATCAAAGTGATTTTTCATTTATGAGCTTTTATAACCTTGTTAATCAGGAGAGTTGATTTGCTGCTGCACATAAATTGTCAGTCAGAAGCTCTGCTAGCCGGTTATCTTAAGAGGAGCTAGTTCAATTTGTTAGCTTGTTATCAGAATCATAGTTGCAGTTTCATCATCTGAGCTGCTTTTTAAGATCTAGGTAAACTTGTTCAATTTGGGGTTAAAACCAAACATTTTCACATATTTTCCATGTAGTTTTTTTTTTGCCAGTTCCTCTTCTGAAAGGTAGATAATTGTTTTTCTCTTTCACTCAGAAAATCTTAATATTCTCCTAGTTTGGCCCAGCACAGTTCACTTCCCAATTACAGCAACAGCCTTATATCATAACCACATAAATGGAGAAAATGTTCAGTAGCAATGAGAGAATTTGCTGTTGCATTTAAGTGATGTTAACTATTATTTAACATTTAAACTTACTTTCTGATTTTTTTATTTATTCCAAAAACCCTGGTAAGGGATGTTTTTCTGTATTTGGAGCATCAGAAAAAGTTTTATGATGGAGGTGATGTTTTAAAGTCACTGAGAAACTGAATGCATGCAGTTTGCTGTTTTGCTGCAAATACAGTAGCAGGTGCAGCTGCATATGTTTGCAATAAAAATGTTATGTTGTAATGGAATTAATGCATTAGTTTTTGTTTGCTTTGAACCCAGAGCAGATGTCACACGCCAGACAACATCAACACTGCATACTTTAGTATTTGTTCATTTATCGCAATATCGATATCGCAATATTAAGCACTGTTATCGAATATCGCATGTTTTCCTAATATCGTGCAGCCCTAATATATATATATATATCTTTTCTGGGCTAACTGGGTGTGTGAAGGTGATTAAACCAAAAATGTATGAAGGTCAGCCTCAGTGGCAGACTACCATTGCTGTGACGTAACGAAAAGATTGGAGGCTGTGTTTTCTTCATGGGCCTGTGACTAGTCTTCAGTGCTTCTTCAGAGGTTTAGAGAATAGAGGAGGAAGAAGACTGATGAGAGGGACCCAGCCAAATGAATTGTGCCATTGATAAAAGCCAACATGAATGTAGGCTTTGATTGGCAGGACAATGAACGAGGCTTTGTCGGCAACGGGTAAGAGTAAGGCAGGGAAGCAGACAGAGATGGACAGATAGACGTCGTTTAGCATGCATATGCATTGTGAGCGGAAATGCTACACACACACACACACACACACACACACACACACACACACACACGTTTTTTTAACTATCGCTTATGTATTCCTTTATTTCTGTTTTTAAGTCATTTCCTTAGTTTATCTGCAAGAAAACATTACTTGTTCGGGAAGTACCTTGATGAGTAAAATTACACAATTACTGATATATTTCAAAGTAGCCTCATCACTCTTATTTCAAATTGTTTACTCAGTATACAGCTGCATTGAACAATTGCAATGAGACTGCAAAACCCACAGACAATCATCCAGTGCTTAAATATTGCTATCTTGGCATTTTTGCTATTTTTTGGCAATTTGTTTGTTTTTTAATTTATCTTTCAGTGTTGGTTGCCTCTATTTTTGTCCGAGTTGCTGCAGTGAACTGGGTTTGTTTGGAAGGTGTATCAGATTTGAACTGCCCAGTGTGCACACGTTAAGAGTGTCTGTTGCTATACCTTTGCTGTCAGTTTTAAAATGCAATTTTCACTCTCCTTAGGCAACACACTGGCTCTGTATTACACGACATGAAACCATCTTGTCAGCGCAGAACTAACTTTTCATTATACATGATGAATCCCGTAAGCCGGTGGGGCCCTAGCCGTGTTAAGAATAAGAATACCTTTATTAGTCCCTCAGTGGAGAAATAGCAATATTGCAATGGCTCAGGTACAGCAGGATAGCAGCAGTAGTACACAAGATATCGCACAAGAGTACATAGTATTAGTTAGTTAAGATAATTATTGCACATGGTAATGAGAGTAGTAGTTATATTGCACATGTTTTGAAAAGATGATATTTGCAGTGGAAGGTTACAGATCTATGGCTTCTATTAGCAGTGACTATTATAGAGTCTAACAGCAGCAGAGAGGAAAGATCTGTGGTATCTCTCCCTCGCACAGCGAGGGTGGATCAGTGTGTTACTGAAGCTGCTCTCCAGAGCAGACAAGGCGTCCCGCAGGGGGTGTGACTCATGGTCCAGGATGGATCTGAGTTTTGCCAGCACCCTCTTGTCCCCCACCTCTCGTACGGAGTCCAGAGGACAGCCCAGGACAGAGCTGGACTTCTTTATCAGCCTGTCCAGCTTCTTTCTCTCCCTCTCTGTGATGCTGCTGCTCCAACACACCACACCATACAGGATTGCTGATGCCACCACAGAGTTGTAGAAGGTCTTCAGGAGTGTCACCGTCACCCCAAAAGACCGTAGTCTCCTCAGGAGGTGGAGCCTGCTCTGGCCCTTCCTGTACAGTGTGTCTGTGTTGTGAGACCAGTCCAGTTTGTTGTTCAGGTGAACACCCAGGTATTTATAGGAGTCCACTCTCTCGATGTCAGTTCCCTGGATGTTCACCTGTGAGGGGACAGCAGGCCGGCGTCTGCGAGGATCCACCATCATCCTTTGTTTTCCCTGCATTGATCAGGAGGTGGTTTTGCTGGCACCAGTCGACGAAGTCCTGCGTCAGTCGTCTGTACTCCACATCGTTGTCCTCGATGATCAGTCCGACAATCGCAGAGTCGTCTGAGAACTTCTGCAGGAACTTCTGTTGTGTCTGAAATCAGCGGTGTAGAGGGTGAAGGGAAATGGAGCCAGGACAGTCCCCTGGGGCACACTCGCACTGCAGGTCAGCGGGTCAGACACACAGTCCTAGCGGGTCAGACACACAGTCCTGGGCTCTCACAAACTGGGGCCGGTTTGTGAGATAGCTCAGGATCCACTCAGCCAGGGTCCAGCCCAGCCCTCTCCAGTTTAGTTTTAAGAATCCCTGGTTGGATGGTGTTAAAACCACTGGAAAAATCGAAGAACATTATTCTCACGGTGCTGCCAGGTTTCTCCAGGCGAGCCAGAGCATGATGTAATAGACAGGTGACTGCATCTTCTACTCCAACCCCTGGCCGGTAAGCAAACTGCAGTGGATCCATCAAAGATGCCACAGTAGACCGAAGGTGACCCAGGATCAGTCTCTCCAGTGTCTTCATCAGGTGGGACTTGAGAGCCACCGGCCGGTAGCTACTGAGCTCATTAGCTTTTGGTGTCTTTGACACTGGAACCACACAGGAATTCTTCCAGAGCTGTGGTACCACCCTCAGCTTGAAGCTAAGGTTGAAGACATGCTCCATAACAGGCTCCTTAAATCCAGGATTTAGGGAGCCTGGAGCTAATGTTGTCAGGACCAGCAGCTTTTTTCGCTTTGATCTTCATCAGCTCTCTCCTCACCTGGCCTGCAGTAAAGGAGAGGTGTGGGCAGTGGAGCTCCTGACTGGAGAGGGGGCCGAATCCTGGGGGGTGCATGATGGTCTGAATGGAGGTCTGAATGGAGGTGCCAGAGGTGTGAAGGGCTGTAGCTGTAGGGGGTTGTCCAGGTGTCGAGTTATGGGCATGTGTTAACAGGCAGTTACAGGCATGTGTCGGATTTGTGCACAAACCCTGTTCAGGGTGGAGATGAATGTACACATGAGTGTAACTCGAAGTTGTGCAGTCAGTAAAGAAATTGGGCTGCTAATAGCCGTTTTTAAACCCTTGTCTTTGTGTGCTGGGCAAAGCTAACTGGCTACTGTAAAGTGTCTCATGTAAACTGTAGCAGGGTATCCGCGGGTCCTTAAAAACTCTTAAATTTGCTTTTCCAAATTTAAGGTCTTAAAAATCCTTAAAAATGACAAATACTCCTTAAATACAGCTTCCAAAGGTCTTAAATGACCAAAGAACCAATAAACAAGATTCTTTCATTTCTATAAAATTTTCATGAATTTCTAGTTAGTTCAGCATTATTTGTGTACGATATTGCCGTAAGCGGAACCATACACATTCAGTTGGTTGTGAAAGGGGGCTATTTTTAGATGAGCACATTAGCTGGTTAAGCTAGTGGGCGCTTGCGCCATGGGGAAGTGCAAGTTTAATGGTAACTGGATGGCTAATCCCACGTTTGCGACGTGGTTAGCACCGGTTCTAGGCAATAGCTAGGAATTATAGCTTAAATTCGGTCAAAGTGGCCTTAAAAAAGGTCTTAAAAAGTCTTAAATTTGGCTTCCTTAAACCTGCAGATACCCTGTCTTAGCTATGGAAGCATCATCTCATTAGTGTCTGGGGAAAGGAGAAGTTAAATGTATAAAACATTTTCTATTCACAGTCTTGTCACTTTATAATGGCCCAAGTACACCTTGTACTGTTTTAAAATGAACTTTGATTGCTGTTGAGTCGGCCATTCTTCCATCTATACTGCCTGGAGCTTTCAGCACGTCTTCAACAGAACATTAAAAGGAAAATATCCAGTTTCACACTTTAACGACTTAATAAGCATCCTTTATAAGGGGACCTGTGCATGAGTTACGCTTGGATAATTATAGAGGATGGAAGTTGTTGCTCAACTGAATTATATCTTTTTGAGAGTCAGCGATTGTTTGCAGTCTGGAGTTTTTAATGAGTAACTTCCCCAAATTAGTGCAGAATTTTCTCATCAGGTAGCATCATCTAAAGGGTTAACACACAGAAGCTCAGTGATGCACAACACAGGACATCCAAATCTGGAAATCAGTCCGAACCAGAGCTTTGTCATGGACAAGAGATGATATGGCAGTGAGAGAAAAAGCTAAAAGTTCAGCTGCTTCCTGTGTGTTAGGATTTTAGTAGGTTGACTCTACTTTCACATTCGACACCAGATAAAGTTACGTCACTTTTGCTGTGTTTAAAAAGAAGATCTCGTCTTCCTCCTCATTTCATAAACTGTATTGGCAATGATTTGTCTTTTTCTTTAATCGTTTTGATTTATCCCCATAGATTCTCTGGTGTTCCTCCCAGTAACCTTGGCAACAACACTAAGCTCGTTGATTGGATGCCTCAAAATGACTTACTAGGTGAGTACAGCAAATTTACATAATCTAGTGTGTGTATGTGCCACAGTGTGCTTCTCTAATTTTGTGTGGGTGATGTTTAACATCTTCTAAAAAACAAGTTTTCATCTATTAGATGAATAAATCAGATCAGATAATTGATGCCCCCCTTATTAGAATAAATCTCTATTTTTGTTTGTTATTTGAGTTTTTCACTTAAAATGAGCTAGTTTAGTACTCTGCTGTACCAAATATACCACAGTTGGATACTATGGCACGAAACAAAAATGTATAGCAAAAGTTACAGTTAGAGTCACAGGATTAGCTCCTGTTTAAGATCAAGATTTTAGATACGATCAATACTGCTGATGCCTTCGTAGTAGGGGTGTAAGGGTTCACGGGGCAGTGTTGAACCATTTCGGTTCGACCTGTTTGGTTCGGTCTACTTGCGCACCTTTTTTTTTTCTGTAAATAATGCGTGATTTAAGTGCAGCGGATAAAAGTTACCAGGCGGGTTTCTGCACAGACGTTGTAATGAGTGACGCATGATGGCTGCATGCGCCCGATCTCCGTTAAAAAAATATGGCCTGCTAATTCTGATCAACGTCCTTCAGAGCAGATTAAACCAGCTGGCTGTCGCTGCTACTGTGGAGCCTGTAGAGACCCTGAACGGAGCGTTGCGTCGCCCCTCCCGCCCTTCTCTCACACTGCAGGCGTGCAGCGGGAAAACTTAAACAAACACGTCTGCTGAAATTTCCTCATGGGAGAATCGATGTAAAGTTTTCAATCCTACAACGAAAAATACGGCGCGGAGGAAGAGTTTTAAAGAAGAAACTCTGAGCGGTGTGAGGTGAGTTTTTAAAGCTCACTGCAGAAATAAAAACACGGAGCATCAATTGTTTCGTGTTTCGAGCATGATCCATTCTTTCATAATCCGTTGTTGAATTGTGATCGGCAGACGTTTTTCCAGTTTGCGCCTCACTTTTTTTTTTACAGGAACGGCCCAAAACGATCTCCTAACACATGGATTTTCTGCTTCCTGATCACTTGACGTGTGACGTATGCGGATGAAGATCGGCTTTAGAGCTGGGATGTTTTTTCTTACGGTGCGGGGACTCAAATGATGACTTTAGTCGTCACTGGCAGTGAATGAGTTAAATAAATAAATAAATAATATACCGAAAATTTATCGAACCAAGCTATTCAAAACACAAGGTGTACCGTTACACCCCTACTTCGTAGTAATAAGTGTTATAAGTGAATGTGTTGATAGTGACTCTGATTAAATCACTTGGTAATGACACTGATTTAAAAACTGGTGTCCCTTAACTGTGGAAATACAAATTTTATAATTATGTTTGGGATGAATTTGAATGTTTTTATTTGTTCATAATCAGTTTAAATGATATTTCATCATTAAATAAGTCAAGCTTTACGTTAAAAAATTGACACAACGATTCAAGGATTAAGTAAAACTATAGAATAAACACTAGAGGACTTTATTTTGTAGGTACACTTCAACTGGGGTATTCAAACAAGTGTATTCCCTTTAGACCTAGACTTTAGAATTGTTTCAAATTTTTATGTATCTTGTTTATTCTTATTGCCCTATCTACCCTCTGTTGTTTTTTGCTTTTATCTTTGTAAGGTGACCTTGGGTTTGAGAAAGGCGCCCTCAAATAAAATGTATTATTATTATTATAACTGTGAGAGATGGAAATAAAATGAAAATCCAGGAAATACCATTGTATGATTTATATAGAATTTAGCTGAATAATGGTGCAGAAAACAGTCATTTAACACCTAAAAACAAGCAAACCTTCTTGCTATCACAGAGCTTTTCTAACCTCCTTACTTGTATTAACGACACCTGTGTGAACTCATTATCAGTATAAAAGACACCTGTTCACACTTTAAAATAGTCAAGACTCCAATCTCCACTATGGCCAAGACCAGGGAGGCCTCTAAGGACAGGTTAAGATTGGCTCATCCCAGTCTTGTGCAGGTGTACAATCTATAGTGGCAAGCATCTTGGTGAGAACAGATCAACTGTTGGAGTAAATATTAGAAAATGTAATAAATATAAGATCGCTGACGACCTCCCTCGACCTGGGGCTCCATGCAAGATCTCACCTCATGGGGTACAGATAATCTTGGGAACAGGAAGGAAATGGCTCAGAACTACACGGTGGAACTAGTCAATGACCACATTAACAAAGGTTACCATTAGTAACGCACTACGTCCCCATGGAATAAAGTCTTGCAGTGCTCGAAAGGTCCCCCTGCTTAATCCAGCACATGTCAGGGCCTTTCCAAAGTTTGCCAGAGACCACCTGGATTATCCAGAGGATGATTTGGAGATTGTCATCCTGTCAGACTCAGATGAGACCAAAATAGAACAATTTTGTATAAATTTCACTTGCCGTGTTTGTAGGGGGAAGAATGCTGAGCTTCTGGTTTGTTTATTTGAACGTATGCAAACAAACAAGAAAAGGCCATAAAGCTGCATATCCTCCTGTGCGGTCATCCAAGCACAGACTCTGGAAGTCCACCTAGGTACAAAGAGATATAAATGAATATATGTGAACTCATATATACAATATTAAGAACACGCATGAATATACAACCCCAAACACACCCATATGTATCTATACATAGAACCTACATACGCACATGTAAATGCATACACGCCCATATCTACCCACACACATTTGCTATCATATGCATATTTATGCAACACAAACACTAAATTATACCCTTCATCTTTGCGGAGAAACATTTTCTGTGTATAATCAGGGAGATCCCAAGAACACCATACTCACTGGGAAGCAATAGGGTGGAAATAATATGCTTTGGAGCTGCTTGACAAAGATCCAAAACACTGCCCAAGCATGAAATGAGTGGTTAATAAACATTCCAAGGTTCAGGAGAGCCCTAGCCAGTCTTCAGACTGCAATTCAGTTTAGAAACTGTGGAGGGAAGTTAAAGTCTGTGTCGCCCAGCGACAGCCCCAAAAGCTTTAGACAAGATCTGTATGGAGGAGTGGGCCAAAATACCCGCTACAGGAAATGTTTGACCTCTGTCAGTGCCAATCAAAGTTTCGTTACAAAGTGTTGAGGTGCACCATATGATTGACCAAATACTTATTTTCTGCATCATTTACAAATACATACTTTTAAAAAATCCTACAATGTGATTTCCTGGATTTTTGTTTTTACATTCTGTCTCCTGCAGTTCAAGTTTTTCTATGTTGCAATTACAGACCTATCATCTGTGGCTGCCAATCTGCTACAAAATACATGAGCCACATTTAGTAAAAGCAACAGAGTCAAAGATTAAACGTATTCATGACTGAATCACCCAAGATGCAATAAACCTCTCAATGCCTCCTGTCACCCAGGCCACGCTAACACGAGGGCTTTTCTGAGCCACGGGGGCCTGAACAGCATCTACGAGGCCATGTATCATGGGGTGCCAGTGGTGGGTGTGCCCCTTTTTGGTGACCACTATGACACGATGACTCGCGTGGCAGCCAAGGGTATGGGTATCATGCTGCACTGGAAATACATGACGGAGGACGATCTCTTTGCTGCTCTGACGAGCGTCATCAAAGACACCAGGTAAGATTTGTTTAACTACTGGAAAACGCCAACCACGGCCAACGGATTTCATGCCCGGACCATTTATTCCATGCCTTGTCTTTTATTTTTCTAGATATCGCCAGCAGGCGCGTCTTCTGTCCAACATCCACAAAGACCAGCCGGGGCATCCCGTAAACAGAGCTGCTTACTGGATCAGTTACATCCTTCGTCATGATGGTGCCAACCACCTGCGCTCAGCGGTATACAGCGTGTCCGTCTACCAGTACTTCCTGCTGGATGTGATTGTTACTGTAGCAGCTGCCTTGGCTCTCTCAGCTTTCCTGCTGCGTAGGGTGGTACGATTGCTTAGGGGACAAACTGAGGACCACAGCTCAGGGAGTGTTACCAGGGATGATGGTAGCATGACCAACGGACATTGCCATAGTGGGAGCATTGCCAACGGAAAACACAAACGCAACGGCTCCTTGAAAAGTGAGAAGAAGCTGAATTAATGGTTTAATGGAGTATTGAGGAAGAAGTTGCCCTACGGACTCAGCGCAAGTTTCATCGCTTTAATGAAAGCTTGAAGATAAAAGCTGCTTTTAGGTCTGCGTCGAGAGGCAACTGCTCCTCAGAGTGAAGATAAGGATGTAGGAGGAAATTCTATGCATCGTGTGGGGACAGAGCAAGGCAATGGGTGCTCAAAATCTATGTGTAAGTGTGTATGTGTGTGTTTAGATGAATGCTTCTGTGTGCAATGAGGCGAGTTTAACAAAAAAGTTTAAAAAAGCTATAACTGCAACTACATTGCGACACTGTAAAGTCTTTGAGGATGAAAAACAGGGAAAGGCGCATTAGGGGACGCTGTTTCTATAAGAGCATCTTCTCTCCTCCGTGTTCTCCGCTGTCTTCCTGCCACCTTCATCACCAAGGGAGGGATGACGAAGGATCCTGAGCGCCAGCTGTTAATCCTGAGAATAAAACAAGACATCAAACAGCTTTGGAAATATTCAGAATATAATGTTTCTAACCAAAAACTCAGTGTATCTGGTGAACTGTAAATAGCAGATAAATCTATTTATTGCTGCTCAAAAACACATTTTAACGATGGACCTTTTTATCATTATTTTTAATTTATTTCATACGTCTGAGGTGCGACTGCACTAAAGGGCACGTACACTCCCTTCTCCAAACTCAGATCTGTACTTCATGTTATTGAATCCATTATAGGTCGTTGTAAGTATGTCTGTCCCATGGGTCTGTGCTTTCAGCATTATCCACAGTGTTTACTGTAGGACTTGGGACTGGAAATCAGTCTTAAATCAACACCTTTTCACATGGTTGTGCCAACTTCTGACTTCCTTTAGAAGTGCAGCACATTAACTGTCTTGGCTGTTTTTGTGGTTTAGAATACCGCTGCTGTTTGGCATCTCTGTGTGAAAAGGACAATAATTCAAACCACTTAGGATACTGTTGATAGGCAGAGCCAGATGGGAGGTGTGTTCAGGTCCGTCTAGTCAGGTGATCGAGTGGGAGCGTTTTGTTGGTTGTTGCCGCAGTTTTACCGCTTAATTCTGCGTCCCTTATTTATTACAGTAGTAAACATTTAGATCTTGATTGCCATTTTTAGAGCTACTTTGACTCCTTTCATTCTTTCCTGATTTTGTTATTTGTCACAAAATTCCGCAACAGCTGCAGCTGCTTGCTCTAAACGAGTCTGTTCAGGTGTTTCTCTCCTGTAAGCGTGCAACATTTTGCCATTGGACCCCATGTGAAAACTGGCACTTATTTTATTTGTACGAATTCTGAATATGCATGAATCATATGAGCAGTGCGGCCTTTTGTAAAGCACATGAGAGCGTATGCTGCATGGCTGATTACAGGTGTGCTTGTTGTTTTCAGTGCCTGAGTGTTTTAGAGCATCAGAGTGAATGGCTGAGATGATGTACTGTTTTAGCCCACTGACACTTATCTAAGGATAATTAGGTATTGAATTCCCAAAACATGCAAAAAATATATATATATATAATAATAATTCTCAAAACACAGTTTGTTCTCAGTGATTTTCTTTCTCTTTTTTATTTTTATCTATTTTTTTGCTTTAAGACTCGATGTCTTAACTTGAATGCAAGTTATGAATAAATGTGAGAAAAGTAAGAATACGTTTAAACCTGCTTGCTGGCTCAATACTCTGTCAGCCTGGAGGTTTTATGGCAATGAAGACCTTATGAATTTATATCCATCCATCCAAATTCTGAACCCGCTTGTCCATGTAGGGTCGTGGGTGGGGGGCTATCTCCAGCGGTCAATGGGCAATCAGGCGGGGTACACCCTGGACAGAGGGCCTGTCCATCGCAGCTTATGAATTTATATTTCAGGGAGAAATAATGTGGCAACTCTACGCCACACTGCAGTTTTTGTCAGTAGTTTCCAGAACAAACTAAACATTTCCTTAGTAAAGTTAAAAAAAAGGGCTTCTGGGAAGTGTGATTATGTATAAAGGTTATAAATAAATACTCTTACCCAATGTAGATGGCTTATTGGACATCCTCTGTTAAAAGACGTGACTTTTTAGGACAGAACTGTTAGACCAAGCACAGCCAGACCTAATGTATATAGCTGGCATCGTGAAGGGGAACTAGGCAGTTTATTGCTTGCTTTTTGCACCCCCTAGTGTCCATTTGTAGAACCAAAACCAAAACCCATCTTCTTGCTGAGCGTTTGTCTTTTTAACACCATAATCTAACAGCTGAAATGTCTCCCCAGCCTTCCTTGGTGTCTACAGGAGTAGCGCCACTAAATTAAACAAATCAGCTGTGTTCATGATCTAAAACATGCAGGAAATGCGCTGGAGCCAGAGTGGCCTTTAAGCCTGTAAAGGGTCATTTTAGCACATACTGCAAATTATCCCTTTAAAACAAAAGTGGTTCTTATAATGGTAATGTATTTACATTTACGTTAATGATCTTGTTGCATCACACAAATGTCACCAGTAGCAAGCAGCACAACGTAGCAATTCTGGTTCATGGGATCCAAAGAGCTATCCTTTGACTTTTACACAAAACACACTACACAAAACAACTGTTTACCAACTAAATAACCTCTATCGCAGGTGAATTTAGAGAGAAATGTTCACTTAAACAAAGAAAGAACGGGTCATGTAAACATCTTTCTTTCTATCTCTGTGAGCTGCAGTTGCACCTGCACAACACAACCCAGCCCCACTGACGCAAAGGAGAGAATTTTATACTTGAATCAGCATCATGAATAATCGTCAAAAACAACTGTTGGGCTAGTGGTTTGATCTTCAGGTGCTACACAAGCTATGAACGGAGTCGGAAGCATACAAATGTTTGTGGAAAAAAAAACAATTTTTAGTTTAGCAGTATTAATGTTGTAGTCCACTCCGGTAAAATAAAAACCATTTTTCAGTCTCTTAACGGTTAAGTTCATATTTTGCATTCCGACCTGTCTCTAGTCCCATCATGTTTGTATGTCACCAGTTTCGAAAAGCGTATCTGTTCGTTCTCTTGCTAGTTCCTTTGACCCTCATGTATTAGTTCTCTAGCCAGTTTGTTTCTTTTTCTGTGATTTAGAAGAACTCTAAATGTTCTCACCTCTGCTGTCACGAGTGTCTATGTTGTAAATAGAATGTGTAAACAATACTAATGCTGAATAAAAGTGGCACATTTTGTTTGCAGATTTGATCTTTTTTTTAGTGAGGGTAAACATTACTTTGCCTTTTCTCTCAAGCAGCTAAATAAAAAGCATTGTTAAAGGTCTACCATCTCTTGATGGAACGCATATGACCTGGCACATTCATGAGTTTTAAACCGCTTTATTTTATGGAGAAGTGCTACAATTGTAAACATTTTGTTAAGTCTTGACAATCACATGTTCAGTCCCACAAGATGTCATCCAATCAAACAGCAATTAAAGATTTGCAGATTGCTACCACGTATTTAGCTCAATGCCACTAAATATTAGAACTGTGGAAGCTATCTTGATAAAAAGTTAATCATTTGCAAAGAAGTACTTTACAGAAAGTATTCACTCAAGCAGATGGCATTTTTAAGTCCTTCAAAGTGTTTGGGCTACTACAACGGGCGACGGTGGCACAGGAGTTAAGTGTTCGCCCCGTAATCGGAAGGTTGCGGGTTCGAGTCCCGCTCAGTCTGTCGCTGTCGTTGTGTCCTTGGGCAAGACACTTAACCCACGTTGCCTGCTGGTGGTGGTCGGAGGGACTGGTGGCGCCAGTGCTCGGCAGCCTCGCCTCTGTCAGTGCGCCGCAGGGCAGCTGTGGCTACATTGTAGCTCATCCCCACCAGTGTGTGAATGTGTGTGTGAATGGGTGAATGACTGATTGTGTTGTAAAGCGCCTTGGGGGGTTCTAGGACTCTAGAAGGCGCTATATCAAATACAGGCCATTTACCATTTACAACACCAAATCTGAGCTCAACATCTCTAAAGTTGTCTGGATTGTAGCCATTTTTGTGTTTTGTTTAATGCTGGTTAGCAGTGGCAGTCAGCTTAAAGTGAGTTAAATACATTTTATTTTAATCTTCATGTAGTGATGACGTTTGAAAAGGTTCAAGAAGCATGATGTAATGGCACCCTGTGGTAAACCCCAAGGTGCAGTTTGACACCATCAGCAGTATCATCTCTCTTGCCACTCCTACAGCCTCCATCCACTCTGTTGCAGACTGTGAGAACTTTCTGTCTTTCTTTGTGGACAAAGTCAATAAGGTTGGATCTAGCATCTCTCCTTCAGCTTTATCACTGCCTCTTCCGACTCCAACCAGGCCCATCATCCTAGATAGCTTTGCTCCTGTTTCTTTGCCTGAGTTAACCAAACTAGTTAACTCTATGAAGACCTCTGCATGCCCCCTCCACATCTTACCCTCATCTTTGTTTAAACGTGCTTTTCAGTCCATCGGTCCCAGCGTGTTCTCCATTATTAATGCTTCTCTGGTCTCTGGTCAGGTCCCTGCTTACTTTAAGAACGCTGTAATCCACCCGCTTCTTAAAAAAACGAGTCTTGACCCCTCTCTCCATAGCAGCTTCAGACCCATCTCTAAACTTCCGTTTATCTCCAAGATCTTGGAAAAGGTTGTGGCTAAACAACTCACAGCTGCTCTTGATGAACATAACATCTATGATTGCTTACAGTCAGGTTTTCGTAGAGCTCATTCTACTGAAACAGCTCTTCTTAGGGTCTCTAATGACCTTCTTACTCACAGTGATGCAGGGGACTGTTCTGTTCTGGTCCTGCTGGACCTGACTGCAGCCTTTGACACTGTTGACCATCACCTGCTACTGGAGAGGCTGAGAGACTGGGTAGGCCTATCAGAATCTGCTCTGGAGTGGTTCTCCTCTTATCTCTCTGAGCGCTCCTTTTCTGTGGTCGTCTCCAAGTTTAGGTCCTCCACCACCTCCCTTACCCATGGTGTCCCACAAGGTTCTGTGCTGGGTCCTCTGCTCTTCCTCCTCTATCTGCTTCCTCTTCAGCACATCCTGAGCTCCTTCAAAGGAATCTCCTACCATCTTTATACAGATGACATCCAACTGTACATCTCCTTTAAGCCCCATGAGATGTCTAAGCTGCAGCTGTTACACACCTGCTTAGACTCTATCAAAACCTGGATGGTGGGAGCTTTCTTCAGCTGAATGAAGATAAGACTGAGATCCTCATCTGTGCCCCAGACAAGCTGGTTCCCAAAGTCAGAGACTCTCTTGGTCAGCTTGCTTCTCTCACCAAACCTTCCGTCAGGAATCTTGGCATGACCTTTGACCCAGCTCTCGCCCTGGATTCTCATGTCAGTTCTCTTGTTCGCTCTTCCTTCTTCCATCTTAGGAACATTGCTAAGCTGAGTCCCATTCTGTCCCGCTCTGAACTTGAGACAGTTCTCCACACCTTCATCTCCTCACGCTTAGACTACTGTAACTCTCTTTTCACGTGTCTGAGCAGAACCTCCCTGAACCGTCTACAGGTGGTTCAGAACGCCTGTGCTCGGCTTCTGACCAAGTCCTCCAAACACACCCACATCACCCCGCTTCTCCTCCAGCTTCACTGGCTGCCAGTCAACTTCAGGGTTCATTTCAAGATCCTGGTTCTGGTCTATAGGGCCTTACATGGACAAGCACCATTTTACATTGGTGATCTTCTTAGTCCCTACACCTCCAGCAGGTCCCTGAGGTCCAGTGATCAAAGCTTATTGGTTGTGCAAAGCACCAGGCTAAAGACCAAAGGTGACAGATCACTTGCTGCTGTGGCCCCCAGACTCTCCCCTGAGCCTGAGATCAGTGGACTCAGTGGTCTCCTTTAAAAAGCAGCTGAAGACTCACTTGTTCAAGCTGGCTTTTGTACAACCTTCTTCACCACTCTCTCTTTATTCTGCTCTCCCCACATATTCCACCTTCCTCAGGATCCACTGATTTCCCTCTTTCCTTATCGCACTCTGTCTCTTAACATTTTTTAAATCACAATTGTCAATTTTTTTGCCCATTTTAAATATATGTTTAACAATTTTATAAATTATTTTTTATATTTTTACATTTTTTGTTTTTGTGAAGCACCTCGTGATTTTTACCTTGGCGCTATAGACATTATATTTTCTTCTTCTTTCTTCTTCTAAAACAGGGGTGTCAAACTCATTTTAGCTCAGGGGCCACATGGAGGGAAATCTAGTCCCAGGTGGGCCGGACCGGTAAATAAAAAAAAAACTTCACATTGTTTTCTTTGTTTGAATACAATCAATATAAAACAAAGCTGGAGCCTGAGGATAGTGTAGTACAAGTACAACACCTGAAGTATACTTGAAAATTTGAAAAAAAATAAATAAATCAATAAATAAAAAAAACCTTCCTTAGTGATTCAAAGAGCTTACACATCACATGGCAAGATCAGTTTCATGCAGCACTTAAAGTATATTTGACTCATTTTACTTAACATCTTTTAGCTTTCACCAGCACATCAATATCAGAAGTCACATCCTGAGTGGCGGCCAACTTCAGGATGGGATTCAAGTTCTTGTGTGAGCCTTGAGCGCAGCTTTGTTTTATTTATACTCATTACAGAGAAAACTTGCTCACAAAGATAAGTTTATTTTCACTCTACATTGTAAAGTATGAAAATAAAGTTTACACAACCATCTCGCGGGCCGGATTAAACCCGCTTGCGGGCCGGATTCGGCCCGCGGGCCGCATCTTTGACACCACTGTTCTAAAATGTGGGTACTGCAGTCCAATGTATCAAAACAAACAAGTCCGCTCTGAGCAGCTGTTTCCAGTAACGGATCAGTGCCATGAGATTCTAGATCAGGGGTACTCAGATGTTGTGGTCCGAGGGCAACTTAGCAAAATGACCTTGAAGTTCGAGGTCCAGTCGGGGGGAGAAGGATTGACTACTGCTGTTCTGGATGATAAACCAAGACGAGTCATGAACAGTAAGTTAAATAAATTTCAGTGTAATTATTGAGTTGTTAAAGGTGTGGTTGGCTGAAAAAACATTTTTAATGACTTCTGGTTATAATCAGTCACTCTGAGTTTTTCATGCAGGCTGAACATGAAAACGGTCTCCTACACCAATCTCCTACATTAGCTTCTGATAGAAAATAGATTGTGAGAATCTAGGATTTGAAAAACCTGACGGATCTATGTTACACTGTGAACTGGACTTACCCATATTGACTCGTGACTGGGAAGGCTGTTGTTTTAGCATCCAGAATCAGCAGAGCATGTCCCTTTCAACAGAAGCTAACCACTAGCATTAGCAACTGAAACACATGGCTGAAGCTCCTACAGGCTTGTTATTTGTGGAGATAAAACATCCATGTCCCTGAGCAAACACAGTTAGTGGTAGAGTTGTATTGCTTTTTTCCAATCTGGTGTGATCCGTCAAAATATCAGGAAATAAGACTCCAAATCCTCCTGTTTGGTCCTGCTGGGCCAGGGGTTTGTGTGCTTTTTAGTGCCCTGAGTTCTGACTGCAAGACATTCATCCCTACTGGAGACCACTGCAAATGTATTGATTAAACAGGCAATCCACACCTTTTATTGAAAAAGCAGCTTGAGGTATTTTTAAAGCCAACATTTTTTGTAATTCAGTGTTAGCATTGTTAGCTCAATGTTAGTCTCTAGCCTTCTTTACACGACATTACAGAATAACATAAGGATGCCATGGCTTCTTAGAAATAACTTCTGGGGTGTTGATTTAACCGGCAATTTTTTTCCCCCCATTTTTATATATATATTTTTTTAGCCGGCTGGTGTCGAACATCAAGTGCCGGCGCAACGGTGTTGATTGGCGCAGACTTGGCATCACTGTGGATTCAAATACAGGTCCTTCTAAAAAAATTAGCATATTATGATGAAATCCATTATTGTCTGTAATGTAATGATACACATTAGACTTTCATATATATTAGATTCATTACACACGACTGAAGTAGTTCAAGCCTTTTATTGTCTCTAATATTGATGATTTTGGCATACAGCTTATGAAAACCCAAAATTCCTATCACACACACACACACACACACACACACACACACACACACACACACACACACACACACACACACACACACACACACACACACACACACACACACACACACACACACACACACACACACACACACACACACACAAGCGTAGGCAAAAGGATCACGGGGCAGGTGATGGTACTGTCCTGTTAAA